AAAGGTGAGAACCCAGAATCGCCGACTGAGGAAGCCCCAAAGTCTGAAGAGCCAGACAATTCAGCTAAGATTGAGGAAAACGGTCGAACAGTCAGCAGCAAGATCAGCAAGAAGAGTGTACTTGGCCCAACAAAGAAGGCTAGCATGCCAAAAGCTCAAATCGCGAAGCCGAATCGTGCAGGTACTCGATCAAGTACCTGCAAATGTCTGTAGATTTGATTCGGTGGCGGAGCAGGGTTGTTGGGGTTAGCTGGGAGTTTTCTTAAGATCCACCCGACTTAAGCAATTACCTGTATCGTTTTTTTTTCTCCTTTGTAAATAGTCTGATCCCTTGTGGAAATCGTGCATGCCTCAAGATTTGGGTAAATTCACACTGCTTGTGAATTCTAAATTGCATCCCTTGTGAACGGACCTTTGCAAATCTTGTTTTTTTGGGCCTTAGGCGTTTTTTGCCAAGGCGTTTCTTTTGCATGGCATATCATTGTGAAAAATTGCCTTGTGAAATTACCTTTTCTCGGGCTATGGGGTAAATTCACATAGAATCATTTACAATGTTTGTTATACAACGGATATGAAAATGGCCAGTAGCGCATGAATTTATGAATATGCTGCCACTAAATATAACTTTACAAGGCATCTCTTTTACGAGGCATAAGCCATGTAAAATAAGGGTTGTGAAAATCAACCCCCCCCCCCTTTAATGGCCAGACATAGAATATATAGCACCCATTTACCTGAAGCTCTGTACGTACTCATTGATTACCTCAAATGAACTCTTATGTGTGGATCGTAAACTGGTGCAACTGTCAATCTCCCAATTTCCGGACTCAAGGCCTTCTGGTGCACAATTCAGGAATGAGATGAAAGCTCTTGATCAGCTGCAACAAAAGTAAAGCATGTGATTGGGCTTCAATGTGCAGACCACGCGTTGTCAACCGTACATGTTCCAAGTACCCTTTGGACAACTTCCAGGGCTAGGAGGTTGACAGCTTCGAACTTCAGGCATGTGCCACTCGTGTAGCCGGCCGCAAGCATACCGCGGTCCCGCGGAGTCCGGGGTGAGCCACGCCGGCTCCAACTTCCGAGCTCATGAGATCCGTTCGGGTGTTCACGGCCGCAATCTTGGTTACTCGATGATTTGGAAGTCAGACGAGCCTAAAAGTAGGTTCTCAGATTTATCATTCCAGAACTTGATGATCTGCCAGGGTGGCTCTGCCCCCAGTCTTTGGAAATCATCGAAACCCCTGACATAATCCATATTTACTACTTATACATCTTGTCAATGGGATGTGGAAAAGGCGCGTTTCTCAAGAAAGATAAACGTCTACATATGTTGACTATGTGGAGGAATCGAAACCTCTGGAGAGTGTTGAATGGCGATAACTTCCGTTTTAGATCGCCTGCGATCACCACACACTGCAGTTATTGTATACGTACATCCCCTGCTCATGAGCTGGGAGGATGGATAGCTTCCTAAATACGACTTTCTTGGCCTTGATCAGGGGAGAACGACGGCTGTTTACTACGAACCAGGAAAGGCAGAGTGGTATTGATGAGTCACAGTGCGTCGAGACTTGGCTCATAAGAGGCCTGTGTGTATGTAGTGTCGGGGGTGGGCGGAGGAGTGGGGGAGCAATCGACGCTGTGCACTCGCAACTTGTTCTTGAATTGTTCAGCTCCATGCCGAAGTCCATAGCCTGAAATCCTGGCCGCTCAGGGATCGGTGAGTAGTAGGTGTTAGCTTGAAAATGTTTGAATTCTCGACTTCGCTAGTCGAGAGTAAAGGAAATCCGACTGAACTGGCCGAAGCCAAGCTGAAGAGTCGTAGAACTAAAGCCTGCTCATCAAACCGACCAATCAAGTTTCTCATCCATCGGCGGATTCCTTCTTCCCGGAGACTGCACAGTACTTCTATGAAAGATCGATGTATCTGGGTTTCCACTTATAAACTTGCCGTTTTCTGGGACCAGTCCTGAGCTCAATCAACATTCCTTGCCCCCCCTAAAGCTTACATTCCTGAGTCCTACTCAGTCGCTCGAGATATTTATTTTTGTTTACCCTGTTCAGGAAATCTAAATCTGGTTATTTAGACTTGACACTATCTTTTTGCCCACCACGCGACTCCCTCCGATCTTACTTCTAAAAACACAGTCTACGTTCTTGATCCGTTTCCTGCGTCCAACAACCTCTTGACACGGTGCCTTGAGGAGCTTGATACATTTGATTCCTCCGAATTCCAACTCTTCTTGATATTTTTCAAGAAACTCAAATAGAAAAAAATCAATCGACTCAACGAGACGGCCTGTTCGGAGCGTAGATAAGCACATATCTTGTGAGCTTCCACTTGATGAAAGCACCAGCCATTTTATGTACCCGCATTTATATTAGAGAGAGATCCAGCGTTGATATTTGAATTTGTAACTGTCAGAAGAAAGCCTACAACCGTTACATAGATAACAGTTTCGATTAATTCACTCCGCAAAAGCCATTGGATCTAGATCTTCGTTGGTGGTTTCTCGGCTTTGTTTAACTTGTCTTGACCCATGTTATTGGTCTACCCGTTATCCTGGTAGGATTCGAAGGGGCGCGATTCTTGTCGTAAAAACTTTTAGAAGAAGCAAATTACAGTCTGGTTTACCTGGGATGAAATAGCTTATATCCATCATCCTAGGACCTAGACAGCTTCAGCATGGCATGGCCTCCCGAAGAATACAAAAGATATCTGATGAAACAATTACTCCTTTTTTAATTCTCGCGTAGGAACCTCCTAGGAATACGTATTGTCTAAGAATTCAGGCCCGGCGATCAACATGAACTCCACCAAAGACCAGCCCGCCTATTTCGGCGCACCCAGTCCACAACGCCCACTTTCCATGCTACCACCGAAGCCGGCCCAGCTCACGCAACGCCAGAAAAATCTGGTGGTACATCTCAAGGCCACCGAGGGCAAGACAAGCCTCGTTGCCCCGGCTTACTTCTTGTTCTCCTGCTTCGGGAAACTCATCTTTGGCTTCGGGGCCTCGATGGCCGTCAAGGGAGTATGTACCAATGATACTCCTTCAATCGGAGCCGGCGGTGGATTATGTGCTTTCGGATTCATCTGCATCTTGATCGTCGCCTTTGGATTTGGGGCGGCCTGTCACCGGATAGACAAGTTCCGGGGTATCCTCTTCAAATGTATATCTATCCTTGCGGCTATCTTGATAGCAGTCGGATACGCCGTCAACCGTCAGTTTTTCTTCTTCTTCTTCTCCATCTTATGGTAATTTGGATTATTTGCACCTTGATGATGTGCCTCTAATCTTCTGCCCCTTTCCGACCATCCTCGCAGAGTATTATGTTTCCACTCACCACGAGTTATTGGATATCCGACTCAGTTTCTTCCCACTGTTCCTCGGGGCAGCCCTATTGGTTATCTCCATCTCGAACTTTTTCGCATACACCGAGCTTGTCCGAGGACCTACCCCAGGTTGTGAGTACCCCGTTGCAAAAAATGAAATGACAAAGCTCTATCGTTTAGAATTAAGACTAAATCAGTTTTGATTCTGATATTTTGATGACCACGTGTAACTTATTAATAATAAAGTACCTCGTGAGCGTAGGCCTCTAATCGCAATGTGCTTCTTTGGCCCTGGAGTGGGGACGGTATTTGGTGGATGGATCACTGGCGAAAAGGGAGAGTGGCCCGTAGCATTCAATGCAGGTAAGGATTGATATCCCCACCTGCCAAAAAAATTGTCTTTCTTGTCGCTGACTTTATCCGTTTGGCCACCCAGCGGTTTTAACTCTCGCGATGGCTTGTTTATATTTTGGGATATGTCTCTTTTGGTCCGACCATTTACTTCGAGAAGCCGAGTGGGCAGAAAAGAGCGTGATGCTCGAAGCTTATCGACTCAGTACCAACGAAATCACTGACCGTCTTGAGGAGAAGGAACAGGTCTGAAGCCCATACATGAATTCACACCAGTCGAAAGTAACCAGCTCTTTCGATTCAGTCTTTTCCATAACGTCTCTCTCCGCGTTTCCACCCCCCCCCCCACTCCCAGGCCTCCAACTTCTAATCTCCAATCCGCTTTCCTTTCGTTCAGCTGTTTATCTCTCGATTCGTCTCTCGTTCATTGCTACAGGGGGAGCTCATCACTTGAGCTTGTACTACAAGGAAAAGTAGAATACATATATAAATATTCCCGTTGGGAATTGTAAACTAGAACCATTCGACATACATGTATGAAGAGAATATTCCGTGCCAACTACTACCATCAAAGTCAAAGTCAATTGTTCATCTGTTATTTTTGTTATTATTATATTCTACACTTGTCCCAACTGCTTATGAGATTGAATGTAATACATGAATATCAGAAGATTTCGACAAAACCCATTCTTGGTAGAGTGAGATTTATAGAAAAATATTGATCAGCGCAAAGGCTCATAGTCCTTCATCAGATTACATTTGCACGTCTTTGGTTTCCCTGGGCGTGAGTGGAACCGAAGGAGTGTCCAAAAGCCGGGGAATTGGTTGAACCCCACCTATATCAAAGAAAAACACACTCCGAGTTCCTTCCTTGGACTATGGTCATGCCCGAATCTTGCTTCTTTTTTCCATGTATGAAAGTTTCCTTAATACCTCTTGTTTTTAGAGGGGCTTTTCTTTTTATTCTTCTCATCATATTATGTACCGATTTGGGTTTTTCTTGTCAACAGTCTACTTGGAAATGCAGTCCCATTCTGATCATTCTTGACAGCTTCATAGTAGACTAAACAAAAAGGGAAAGAAAATCTCAAAGAAAAAGAAAAGAAATCGAAAACAGTTTGATTTGAATTTGGGTTTGAGTTGATTTAGGAAAATTGGGTCGGATTAAATGGAAATATGTAGATGTGTCTGAATTTTGGTCAAGAGAGTTTTATGTAATAACGATTGGACCCTCAATGGGCCTCATGGGGAATTTGTTCCACAAAGCAAGTGAGGATTTCATTGAAGAGTTGCTTAAAAGTAAGCAATAGGTTTTGCTGACCCTTCTCTGGACCAAACAGAACTCGGCTTGCTAATGAGCTTCTTGAAGATCGGATCCAGTGGCCTACGATGTTCCAAACAAAGGAAGGGTGTTCGCTTTGTCGGGATAAGTCCTGTCCGGCTAGACCGCCCTTCTTGAGTGTTCCATCATAGGTTTCAATGTGCCCGAAAACGTCCTGGAAAAACTGCTTGCCAGCTACTTGCCTTTGCGATCGAAGTGTTGAGTTCTCTTCAGCTGAGACTGGAATGAGTACGTTAATCAAATCTGCATGGAATAAGTAGAGTGGCAGTGTATTGAGGACTTGGTGGAGCTCGTTCAATAAGTATATTTCCTGTTTTCCAGAGTATTTGCTCGTGATTCTGCTTCTACTCTCCTTGATGAAATCTTCAAAATCTGGGATGACACGGTTGATGTACTGTGTCTTGAATTTGCCCGGCTGAACAGCTCGCGAATAAAATTCTCTGAGGGACTCTCGCCTTCTGTCTCGCTGAAACTTGGTGAATACTTCAACTGAGACTTCTGATGGCCTGATATTGCCGATCACATAGTCACCTGCAGTATTCTGTCCTCGATGGACTGCCATAGAAAGGAACTCTCTTATTTTCTCCTGTTCGATCTTAAGCATCCTGTATTCGCCCTGGGCTTCATCAATGAACATTGACCCGTCGGTTTTCCTCAAGCTTTTGATTGCGTCGAAGATCACTGCTTCTTCGGGTTCCGATGGGCGTTGGGCATCATAGGTTACGAACGGAAGAGACCTGTCGTAAGTGAACGATCTGAACATTTTCCTCTTCGGAGCTTCGGCTTCTTCAGGCTCGTTTGATTCCCTCTGTCGTTTGGCGGGCTGTAGCAGGAGTGGATGCTCGTGATGATCGCTATAAGGCATGATGTGATCAAGGTCCGGCCACGAACTGCTGGCAAAATCGAGAATATCGCAGTTGTAGTCCGATTCTCGCATCGTTTGATCCCACGCCAGCCACGGCGGAACGGATTCCGGATCGAGATATGATGCGACATCCTCAATCAACCAGCAGGTCAGCCAAACGATGAGCCAGAGGTGAAATTTCGAGAAGGAGGTGGTGGGTCTGGAAGAGTTGAGGCTTGATCTCGGAGCCATCCTGGGTTCGTTCCTACTATGTACCGATAATTAGAGGATCGTTATTCCTCACTTTGAATCGAAGCAATCCTACGCAGATGAGTACTCGACCTATGTATGTATCCTCCCTCGCGTTACAAGGGGCAATGATCTTGTAGCATCTGAGACAGTTCGTTTCTACATGAGTATATCAAAACCACTGGAAATGGTTTTCGCCGATTCATGAAACTTGCCTCCCCGTCCTGATTTGGGGTGTGTATAGACATCAGCGAGCAGTGGGTGAACAGACAGACGAGCGGCTATATTGTAGTCAAGTTCCACAAAATGTAAAGCCAAAAAGCTCTCCCAAATCAACAGCTCCAGATATAGAAAATGGGGGAACAGAGTTAAGGTCTTTTCTGTTGACCGCGATTGGTGTCTTGTAGGATGCATATCAGGAAAGCCTGTTGCCTCATCAGATTGCAAATATATGTGAGGGCCCGCCAATTACTCTCCTTTTGTGAATGACTATAAGTAACTATTAAAAGGAATTACCGTAATCAATATTAAAGAGAATATGGGTAGTTATAAGTTTATCTTTATAGGGAAAGATAAAAGTACTCTTGAAGGGATGAAATAACTCTGGATTGATTTATTTATCAGGCTCGATGATACATACAAGAAATAAAAAACCAAAAATATCGCGATAAAGAAAAAGGAAAAGAAACAGTCTTTATAATGATGTGACTACGTACAAAAGAGAATTTGGCAAGTAAAATCCAAATAATACTGTCCGAGTAAGTTTAAGACTTCAAGACAACCACTTGTTATAAGAGTGAATGCACTTGAACAACAGAAAATTGGTAATGTAAGTTGCATGTCACAAATAAGGATGGGTACATATTTGTTTGCTTCTTTGAGTGGGCAGGATGGAAGGAGTTCACTCTCATGAGAGTTGGCTTATAGGTCCCTTTGAAGATTATTAAGCCTGGCGCAGTTGGTGCTGTGAAACGCTCGAGCCTTAAATGAAAGTGTTCCTTCGACCTTAAAACCCTTCTGTCATCAACCAACTCATTACCATCAACCAACACAAACAACAACAACAACAACCCAGATGAGCTCACTACTACCCAAACCAAAACGAGTATACGGTCAAGAGAGAACAACAACAACAGAAGAACAACCAGTAATCCCTCCAACTTCAACACTAGAACCTCAATCCAGCCCACTACCACTCACACCAACAGAAGAAGAAGAAGAACCAATCCAATCAACTACAAAGAACTTCAAACGAATCAGACCACTCCAACTCAACCCACAATCTCCTCAACCAAAGAAACTCAAATCAAAACCAACAAACACTCTCGAGGATGACGACGACGACGATGATCATGAACTACCCGACATAGACCACGCCTTCCTCAACCCAGCCATTCCAGCCTCACCCAAGACCATCTGCGAGCCTGATCCGATCATCAACGAACCTGACGAGGAAGACGAGATAGATCAACTGGAATCCGACTCAGAACCAATCCAGGAGAAACCGAAAACGAAAAAGAAGAAACTCAAAGTAAGTTTTCATTTCCAGACTCTCTCAAAATCATAATACAACAACAACAGGGCAAAGAAATTAACCTCTCTCTTCACAGGGTCTTAGCAAGAAGGAGAAAGAAGAAACTCAGCGGATCATCGCAAACTGTGAAAGGCGTAAGTCAACAATCCCCACAATCTAGGAACTCGTCAGTTATTGACAAGTCTCATCCAACAGAGAAAAATTCAAGATTAACCGCCGCATGCAGAGCACCCCTCAGCAGACTAGAGGATATCGTCAAAAAGGCATCAACAACCACACCCACTGGAGCGAAATCTCGCTCAGAGCGTCCACCGTAAGCATTTTCCCGCCCATCATAGACAACTCTTCTCATTCAATTAACACATTTTTTTTCCCATTAACAAGGTATTCTAGATCACATTCATCCACCCACACGATCAATCCATTAAACCTCAGGTTAACCGAAAAAAACAAGAAACGCGACCAACCACCTACCAGCCCAATCAAAGATTTCTCGGATGACGAACAGGATGGATTACCAACTCTCGAAGAACTCACCTCGAGAGATCGGCTCACCACGAAACTCAAAAATAAGACCACTATCCCCGACTCGCTTGAAAATTCCAAGAAGAAAGAATGGTTAGCAAACTTGAAGAAAAACCTGGCAGCCGCTCCGGATGAAACCATCGAACAATTAGATTCAGATTCAGATATTGATATCATCCATCCACCCACTCTGACCACTTCTCATAAAATCGACAATCAGCCTGCTCCTTCCAACCAACTTCTCGATCCGTTCAAGCAACGACTGAGCAGAGGAAAGACCGATTCGAAACCGGACAAAGTTCAACCTCACTTGGCTAGTTCGCGTCAGGTACCATCTTCATCTAAGACTAAAACTGGCTCCGATCCGAAAAGTCACAATTCCAAAGGTCTTATGGACGATCTATTGGCGAAGTCAGCCGTGGATAGCGCATTGCTACGTAAGAAAAAGCACACCGAATTCCTCGAAAGAGGCGGTCGAGTGATCACCAGGGAACTCACAATGACCTCCAATCATAATCCTTCCGACATCGAAAAAGTCGATCTGAAAACTATCCTACAGAAGAATAAGGAGAATGCTGATTCGAATAAAGATGACGATGACGATCTCGACTATGATTGGGATGAGCTGGGTAGCATGGATGAGGTTGAGAGTAGTGAGGAGGAAGAGGGAGAGGAGAGAAACCAGGCTGAAGATGATCCGGACGAAGATGAGGTAGAAAACAGTGAAGAAGATGTCCAGATGACCGGTCGAGCCCTCGACGTGTCCGATGCTGACTCGTCATCAACCTCCAAGCCTGTCGCTCTCATGCTCCCTCCAGCAGTGGCTCGATGTTCCATGTCTTCGTCAAGTTCAGCAGGTTTCTCCTCGCCATCATTCGCGATTCCCCAGCCTCCTCCACCGGGCCAGATCAGCATGACCAGCAAGATCCTCGCACCCGACTCTACGAGTACCGATCGCGAGTCTTCGCGTAGCTCCAAAGCGCCGGCCTCCGAGCCGTCTGAGACTGGCGAAGTACAACCTCTGCCGGGCTCATCATCCCCAGTCGATTTGCCCGGATTCCAATTCGAAGGTCCCTCTCATTCGGCCAAGAAACATCAGACCATTGAAGGCTCTCCCACTCTCACTGGCTTCGGAAATGTTGAGTGCTCCGGGATCGATGGTTTTAGTGATTCGGGAGTCGAAGGCGCTCTCGACTTGTTCCGACAGCCCAAAAGCAAGACTGGCAATAATAGTGTCGACAACGCGTCCGGCTTCTCTCAACTCTTTGACGAAGACGAAGGCGATGCTACGTTCACCCATCCACCGCCACTCTTGAAGCCCAAAAAAACCAGAATCTTAGATGATGATGATGACAATGCTAGAAACGGACAGGAACCAGGTAGCAAAACCCGTCAAGCCGGCAAACTCTTGGTTGCAGATGATGATGATGATGATGACATGAATGAGATTGACGCGACTTGCGTTTTGCCTGCCGTTAATGTCTTGCCAGAAGAGAAAGAGAGAGATATGATGATGATGGTCATGGGCGCTCAGGACACTGCCGTTGAAGAGGATGAGCAACCGACACAATATGTCAACCATCGAGGGTCAGTTTGTTTTTTTCTTTTCTTTTTTTACTTCTTTGCATCGGAGTCACTGACGCCTTCCTATCTTTCTGTCAACAAAAAGATTCTTGACTCAGCATAAGCCCAACGGTCCTCCTGATTCGCCACTCATGTCTCAAGATGTCATTGCTCGAACACCGTTTGCATTAAGAAAAGATGGTGCCAGTTGGCAGAGGCGAGGATCGATACAGAGAGAGATGGAGGCCTCGCCGACCAAGGGCCAAGGCGGATCATCGTCGTGGAGGGTAATCCGATCCGCTTCCCCCGTTTCCGCTCCTAAACAACCAACACAAGTCATGAACGCATTCACTAAGGTGATGGATGCACAGAAGGAACAGACTGCTACTACTTTCAAGTCGCCCCCGGCTCCAAATAAGAAGGCCCCGGGAAGCGAGGGTGCAGGGAAGATGTTCTTGGCGGATGAAGCGGACGAGTCGGAGGATGAATTTGAAGGTTTATTAGGAAGACGACGAAAAGGAGAGAGAGGATCAGGGTCAGATGATGAGAATGGATCAGAGGGCGAGGGGAGCTTGAAAGACTTGGTGGACGATGGCGAGGACGAGCGAGACGAAGAGACGCGTAAGGGGGACGAGCTAGCGCGCAGAGAGCTTGACAAGAAATACCAGGATGAGATGGAGCAGCGAAGGACCGAACATGCCCAGAAGATTGTCGCCGGTAAGGTCCGGCTCAAGCAAGCCCGACTACATCGCTCCGGCGACGCTGCAATCTCGGAGTCCGACTCCGAGGATGACCTCGAGATCGAGGCCGTCAAGGCCAACAAACGCGCCCAGGAACATGCGGCCAAGAAAAGGAAACGGGCTATTCATCACTTGGGTCCGTCCATCTTTTCCCTCCTCCTACTTCTTTTGGCCTAGCTCACTCTTCTCTGCTCAATCGTATTTCTCTCTCCAGCCGATAAACATGCTTCGTTCTTTAAGTCTTACGAGGAGGGCACCAGTAACGCGATTGATGACGATGATCTGGCCTATCTTCAGCCTCAAGAAGAGACCAAAAAAACTAACCCGGATGAGGACGATGACGATGAAGACAATGAAGAGGATGATGATGATGGGGAAAGGTACGGGTACAGTGAGGGGGAGGAGAAGGAGGAGGAAGAAGAAGAAGAAGAAGACGAGGAGGATGATGATGATGAGCTGCCTGGTGACATCTTGCTACAAGGGCTCAAGAAATCAAAGAAAGCAGTCGACCAGAACGTGAGTCTTTGGGCACACACACACCGTCTCTCTTACAACGGTGTATGTATACTGATATGTTTTGTTGAAAGGCTGGGAATGAGAATGAAGGGGCAAAAGGAGAAGGAGAAGGAACGAAGGGTCAGAAGAGAGGAGAGAAGAGAGTCAGGCTTGATAGTAGTCCTGTCCTCTCTTCAGCCGCCCTCCCGGCCTTGCCTTTCAAGATCACCAATCACAACACCCTCCACCACCATCATCGGTCGATGATCCCGACAAAGAAGGGGCCGGCAACGGCAGGCACTAATGACCAACACGAGGATCTGGACGTGAGTTGCCATCGAACTCTACACTCTGATCAGACAAGTCTTAGGGCTGATTCGTATTCTTCTGGTCAACAAACCTTTTCCTCCTCGCTCATTTTTTCTTTCTTTCTTTTTTTCAAAAAAATAGGACTTGTATGGTGCAAGCAAGTCATCTAAAGAGGCCCTTAGTGAACGACAACGCCTGTTGGTCGTCAACGAACTCGGCCTGGGAGCTGGATCTAACGCGCGCGAGACTGCTGCTGATCAAGAGCTTCCGCGGCGGATCGGGTTTGCAGGAAAGTCGGCCACGAGGTCCTCGGCCATGTCCAGCTCAGTCACGTATTTCAAACAAACTAATCTGGCTACTGGAACCGATAAAAATCCTAGGACTTCTTCTTCTTCTTTGATGAAGGAGAAGAACAAGAAGAAGAAAACTGATGTTGGTCGGTCCGATAAGCTTGTCGATCATCTTGATCCTCAAAACGGTCTTCATCGTGATCCTTCGGGACCCAAAAAGATCGGTAAATTGGCTAGATTGAAAGCTAAAAATCCTTCTTCTAATCCTCCACCTCCTACTACTTCTGCTTAGAATTTCTCATTAATTCTTATAATTACTGTCTCATTTTGTTGATCAATTCATACAATCAGGATTAAAGCCTCCTTATAAGTTATCATCCTTCTTCCTTCTTCTTCATCTCTTGTTGTAATCTTGTTTCTCTTTCTCTTTCTTTTTCTTTTTCTTGGAACTTGAACTTGATTTACATACATACCTATTGTTATAATATTGATGGATAAAATTTCTTATGTATATACTTATCTTTTTGTATCTTGATGCTGATACAAAGTGTTGAAGTTTTGTGTGCTGCACACAACAGATACAGATATTAGAGGACTATGTAATTCTTACTCTCCTTGGTGACTGTCACAGACCGATCATTGTGAGAAGCATACTTCCTCACTCCCCTCGATGGTCTGGCCCAGACCGGTCAACAAGAGGAATACGAACTCCCCTAGATGATTCTGTTAGAATGGCAAAACTAAAGATTCATATTTCTTAGTCAGAATTGTGTCACAGGAGCACAATGTAGAGAGAACACGAATAAGCTGCCTTACCTAAAGGGCAGGGACGGGCAGACAGAGATGAAGAGAGAGAAAGAGAGATCACGACACAAAGAGGTCGGTTTGCTCAAGTAATGTAACAAGAAAGAGAACAGGAAGATCGCGTAGTGCGATAAGAAGAGAAAGAAGATAAAGATTTGAACAGGAAAGTCGCTTGAAGCGAGACAATGAAGAATGGAAGGGGGTGAGGATGTGGAAACGCGGTACGAGGTCGTCGCGAGTCTACTTGGTGATGTGGGAAGTTAAAAGGTATGGGTCTTGGATGTGGATCGGGGTATGGTGGTTGATCTGAGCTATCGTATTTTTGATAGGAAGAGTTGCAGATGAGGACAAAGGCAGAATGAGACGATGAGCTTGATTTATGGGTTCTCATGAGGTCTAAATTCATCCGCTGACTCACGGGTATGACTGGGTCGGTTCATCGTGTCTATTCTTCCATCAGGAGAGTTTGCACGGTATCCTGTACCTGGTTAGGGTCGGTTTGTATTTCTTCCTGTGCATCGATGTCTGTGACAACGGTATTCAGGGTAGAGTCAGTCTCAGTTGCAACTTCACAGGTCAGGGGCTAGGCCCAGCCTGGTTTAGTCTCACACAAGAGAGAAAAGAGTCGTACTTACGATCAGATATTTGCTTGA